GCTTCAGGGCTAGTGATGTTTCAAGTGGTAAGATTATGAGCTTTAATAAGTAAAATTATCCCAGCTACAATGACAGACAACAAATTTTACATTTATAGTATTACAACTAAAACCGTTTTTGACGCCGCCACCACAGTTTGTCCTTCATGAACCTTCGTAGACAAGATGGCGGCTGCCTGTTTTGGCGACCTGCGACCATGGAGATATAAACAGCTTTTTATAAGGTAAAAATAAAAAACAAGGTCTTTGTCTGCAATGATTAGACGTGTTTTTTATTATTGTCATTAGTGATTATCTCAATTTCGGCTAAAAGACTTGACAAAATCCTACACACTGTGCCTTTAAACTAAAACTAAGTATTAAAAATACAATACTAACTAATAAAACTAGCAAATCCACTGTAAAAAGTAATTAAAACTAACTGAATTGAAAGAAAAAAAGTCACAACGAAATAAAACTAAACTATAATGAAAAATCCAAAACTATTATAACCTTGGTGACTACTTTCCAAAAGTTTCATCAAAATCCATTCAGTGATTCATGAGACGTTGCAGTGCTGAGCAGTAATCTAATAAACAGCTGTCAGTGTCCTGACACTGTAGATCTGAGAACAATTGATCTGTTAAATGTTTTGTTGTCTTCATTGCATTTGTTTTCTTTTCTCCGACCAGCGTCAGTAAAAGGAGCCCCTAAGCTCTCCATGCTGTCGTTGCTTCACAACATCGTGACCCAGGAGGGCATCGCTGGACTTTATCGAGGAATCTCCCCCAACCTGCTGAAAATCGTCCCCGCCGTCAGCGTGTCCTACGTGGTTTACGAATACATGAGGCTAATGCTGGGCGTGGACATTGAGGGTAGGAGGGGCGGAGGAAGGGGTCGATGAGGGAGAAATGGTTTGCGAGCATGTGCACATCTGGTGTCATGGCATGAAGAAACTGAGCAGTTCTGAGGACGATGAAATGAAAACACATACAGTTAATACTGTATATATTTTATTAGACCTGACATTCCGTGATGGGATACATATCGCCTGCTGTGTTCATGCCAAGGTTTAAACCAAGGTGTTGTGTGATCAGTTGGTGCTTGAAGCATGTGTTGGGAATGACTCTCAGCTACTTCCACACCAAATTTTATCACAGTATCTGTAAAAGTGACTGAGTTATGTTGCTTCTTGTGATTCGCTGTGGCAGCCATCTTCAGAGTTTCATTCAGATTTGTTCACAGGAGATATTTTGCTAACAAAGGAACACACTGCAGGCAATTCCATGATCACCTGCCTTTCATGGCAGCAGACAGAAATGAGTGCTCCATCTGTCCTGGAAACTGCTGGTTTCTTGACTTATTGCATTTTAAAGCACGATGACCGACAAGCATGTTGCTGCTGCAGTGGTTTGGACTTGCAAGAACTCGCCAAAATACAACAACTGGAATCAGATTAACATTCCTTCGGCATCATTTCTCTTACCAGGTGGTTTGTAGAGAAGATTGATGGCTGTGAGCGAGAGGAAGCCCGACGTGCTGCACTGTGGTGAAACAACAAACTGGACTTGTCTTAAAACACAACAGCTGTACAATATCAGCTGAAATCATCCCATAGAAGAGGATCTTTAAAACACTTGTTTAACAGGCACACTGCTGCAAGTATTACTGTTGAAGAACGCACAAAGACTTGAGAATTATACAAGAGAAGCTGCCAAGTTTAAATATACCTCACAAGGAGCTAAACTAACATGTTCTTCCACGTGCTTATCCCTGGGAAAGCAATAAATTATCATGAGCCAGACTGTATTTTCAAAGATTTTATGTTAAAGAGATATTTTTGTCATAAAATGGTAAATGTTATTTATTCATAGTTAACATTTAATTTGTAAATAAATGCATGTATCCTTAATTTGCCTTATGTGTTTAAT